GCGGTAGAGCTGGCTGAGAAGTAGACTGACTTGTTAATTACAGAAATCCCAAGACACACACACAGATCATTTCCCACCCAAGCCCTGCACTCAGACTTCTTCCAAGAACTCGAGTAGTTTTCCCTGGGACAGAATGGACCTGACTTTGGCCTGAGGAGTGGGTGATACAGAAGGACAGTCACCACTGGGCTCTTCACAGCTGTGCTCTCTCCTGCAGGGTGGTCCACAATCAGGCTGTAGAGTGTAATTCTTTTCCTACTTTTACTTAGCCCAGACTTGCTCTGCAGGATGTGCTTCTTTTCCTACCTTTAATAAATGTGAGACCTTGCTACCATTTGCACTGGTCTTAACCAATTCTTCACTCGAGACAGAAAGAACCTAGAAACCACCTCTAGAAGGAGATTCCAGTGCCCCAAACCTAGTAACAAAAAGGGAATATCCTTTCTGACCTTGAAGTTCCATCATTGAGTCCTTGAAATAAACAGACAATAACTAGATGAAGAGGAGAAAGATTTATTTACCAGCATGTACATGGCAGGCATAAAAAATAAGAACTGCAACTCGGGTGGGTGAAGAGCAAATAACATTTATAGCTCTAGAAAGGGATTGGGATTCTGGGGGGCAGTGGTGTCCACTTATGGGAGACTTAAGGGAGTGGCTGCTTGACAAACAAAGGCTGATCTGCTAGAAACATAAAATATTTCAGGTAGCCTGGCACGGTGGCACACCTCTAACCGCAGCAGCATTCAGGAGGCTTAGGCAGGAGGAGCATTGTGAGTTCAAGGCCACTCTGGGTACATAGTGAGTTCAAAGACAATCTGAATGCATAGTAAGACCCTGTCATCTCCCCACCCCCGCAAAAAAAATACTGTAAAATCTCTCAGGTAAAAGAGCTCAGAATTCAGAAGAATAGGCGGTTGCTTGTGACAGTCTCTTGCTAATCTTATACTCCCTATGGGATCTAGCTGAATTTCTACCCCACTCTGTTCTTTGAGGACAGGATGCCTTCAGGCCAGAAGTCTCTCCTCAGCTGGGCTAGCCAACACCAGTTAGACTAAGAACTCTGCCCAAGCGTCCAGACCTTCTTTAGCTTCATTACATCCTCTTCCCCATGCAGACTCTGCCCGGGTGAGGGCAGGAGACTGTTCCCAGGATAAAATCCGCCCAAACCAGTCAAAGTAAAGCAAAGCTTCACAACACTGCCCCTGCGTGTTAAATGGCGCACACCTCTGCACCGTGACCGCTGACAGTTGCTGTGCAGAGGACCAGAAAGAACCATAAAAGCAGCAAAACAAAGCGGTTTCTGAATCTCTGCTCCTTCGCAGAGGAGACATAAGTCCCCCTTCCCTTCATTAGCTTCTCCTTATCACTCATTTCTTTTACCCTGTACTTATAATTCCCTGCATCCCCCAAGTCAAGATGTTGATCTGCTTATTTCACAAGTCTATTTCCCACTTCTATTCTTGACCAAGAATAAACATCTGCTTCATTGCTCAATCGGCGCTTGGTTTTCTTGCTGGCTGCACAATTCTCAGAGGGCAAAAGGACCCAGTTTGGGGACAGAAATTGGCAGTATTTTTGGGCCTTTGGCTTTCTTTCTGGTGAGTGAATCTTTTGTGTTTACAAAGAGATCCCAGCGAAGGGTTCCAGGACAATCACATTCCTACAGGAGGGATTTTCCTTCAGCTACAGAAATTTCAGAGAAAGCTCCAATCTGCTTCAAGGGAAAAAAGAAGTCAGGGCTGGGAGATCAGAGTGGCCTTGGTTCTCCCACTGTTCCAAGCACCGAGGACAGCTGGGCAGGTGGCACATTCCTGTAATCCCCGCTCTCTGAGAAGCTGAGGCAGAAGCCCAGCCTGGGAAACTTAGCAATGTGGGGAGACTGTGAAAATAGAGAAGGGCTACTGATACAGCTTTGTTCAAGGACTCTGGGCTCAACTTCTAATAATGCAAACAAAACTCACTGAAAGAAAAAACAAATGCCGCAAACCCTGAGTATACCAAAGCATCACACTTAGAGTGTCATTTTCTGAGACCCAACAGTATTTGAGTCTAACTTCAGGCTGTGATTGAAAATAATGGATTCACCCCTTGAGTGCAAAGCCAGTAATCATAACAGGGAGATAAAGGAGTCTAAGTAGGGAGAACACTGAAGTTACTTTGTAAAGCATTTCCTCCCAAAAGCAGAAATCAAGGAGCCCTTCCAGAAAAAACAACTTTGAAAGCATGAAAACAGCCTTCTAAAGGGCAGCAGTCCAGCCCTTCAGAGTATAGGAGCTTGCTGCAAAAAGTGCCCATCTTGCCTAACAACTAATCCTCCCTCATTTGAGTTACTTATTCTTGATTTTTTTTTCTCACCTTTATAGGAGATACACATGTTAATAAATTTTCATAATCTGATTTTCACTATGTGGACCAGAATTGAAGCAAGAATCTAGAAGGGTAGAAGGAATCCTTCTCTCTACTGCATTTACCGTTCATTTAGCAGCTGGGTGTGGTGGTGTGGGACCCTAGAATTCTGGCCCAAGACCCCCACTTAGCCTAACTGACTGCATTTTGAGCTGGGAGCCACCCGGTGTCAGGTCTGACCTCTAGGTGAACTCAGGCAGCAGGAATTCTGCTTAGTTTACTTGGTAAAGATAAGAACAGAGAAAGGGGGCTGGAGGACAGCCATAAAACCATCCTAACCTCAAAGACAAAAGAACAGGAGGTTCTGCATAGATAAGAAGAGCACACCACATTCCTCAGTGCACTGACCTCTTCCTGACCAAGCCCCCTCCCCGACCTGAGGTAATTTTCTTCCCCCTTTTGCAAGAGCCCCTGCAACATCCAATAGATTTAGAATATTAGAAAAGAAGCCAATGGAATAGAGAAAATTTCAAGCCTCCCTAACCCTATAAAATGAAGCTAAATAGGTGGGTCGGGGCTTCCAGTTTGTAGCCGCTGCTTCGGTGACACTGGAGGTTCTGCCTCAGCTTGCAATAAACTCGTGCATTTACATCAGAAGAGTTTCTTGGTGATCTTCTTGGGGATTTCGCGACTTGGGCACAACATAGGTATTCACCTATAATTCCAGGTTCTCTGGAGGCTGAAGCAAGAGGATCCCCAATTCAAGTTCAGGCTGGGCCACTCAATAAGACCCTATCTTGAAGATAAAGAAAAAAAAAAAGGCTAGGGATGTTCTTTTGTATTTTCTGTGTTCAGTCTCCAGAAAAACACACACTCACACCCCCCCACAGCATTTACCAAGTGAAAAGAAAAATCAGTATTCCTGATATGTAAATTGATCATTGATGAAGAACTAATGGCTTAAAACTAATCTCTTGATTCTGATTGATAGAGGTCATCATCTTGGCCAACTCATCCTGAAGTTCACTGAAAAATTACAAAGCTGAGGAACTGCCCTGGGAACATGATGATCAACCTAGATATACGGCCTTCAGCCAGGGGCCAGAGTTCTAAAGTGTGCAGTCATCTAATTAAAAATATGGATACCTTGGTCTTTGCTTCTGACTATTTAGAGGTCAGGGTCATGCAACATTGTTGAGAGCAAAGAACATAAGGTACTTGAATGCTTGCAATTTATCCTGCCACTATCTTCCCTAAGCAAAGTTGTGTAGAGAATTGTTTTCTGACTGTATTTGTCTCTTTCAGGATGCAAAAGAATTCATGTGGACTCTACATTGTAACTCCAACATTTCCTTCTCCTCTTTATGTCCTTATAACAAAATATCAGTCTCATTCTTAAGGAGTTTAGTGTTTACAAATCTTCCAGCCCTACCTATTTCTCTAAGAGAAAATGGTTATTATCAGATAAACTCCCTTTTTTGCTAGTATCTTCTACTTTGTGCTTTCTTCTATAAGGCAGGAAAAGAAATGCCCTGACTCATCTAAAATGAATTGGCATTCTTAGAAACGCTCTTCATGCATAAGTCCAGTAGGGGCATCTGTCAGTCTGTGGTTAATTGAGAAAGGTTTCCTTTTGATCTTTACTAAGATACATATTTCCATACATATGACAGCCTTCTGTAGTTTTAGATTAGAAATACCCATGTTGCCAGGCATGGCAGTGCTTGCCTGTGATACCAGCTCTGTGAGAGGCTGAGGCAGGAAGATTGTAAATTCAAACCCAGCCTGGGCAACTTAGCATGTTAGCAAGACTCTGTCTCAAAAAATATTTTTTTATCTTAAGGCTGGGAATGTGGCTCAGTGTGAAGACCCTAGATTCAATCCCCAATGGTAGAAAAAAGAAAAGAAAAGTAAAGTTTTCATTCTTATGGAGTGAGGAAAAGCAGAAGATTGGTGAATATTTGTCATGTCTATCTTATCAAAGCCAAATTTAAAATTCCAAGACAAAAGATGGAAAATGAAAAAGCTTCTGCCTCTGCCCCTGATATGGGCAGAACTAAAGATGCCATCACATTCAATGCCTAGGTCAGAACTTGTCTCCCAGCTTAGCATGTAGACAGTTACATCCCCATCAGATATATAAACATATCACATACATTTAGAGCCACACATGAAATGCACCTTAAACATGCATACAACTATATTAATTACACTTTACATCACATCAAATACATTGCTCATTACCAAAGACATAGCACAAGCTCTGCTCAGTGTGTGTTTATATCTCCCACGTATTAGAACAACGTGTTTTACAGAAGGAAAAGGTGGTTCAGTTGTGTGGGTATAATGCTGTCAGTATCAGGAAGTGCCCAAGATTAGCTGAGAATGCTGAGTCTTTTAAAAAATGTAGGAGTAATTAGGACAGAATATTGCTTGATGCAGAGAACAGCACAGGATGTTCTTGAGTAAAATCAAGAAAACACGTCGGTGATCACTTATTATCCCAGAACTCAAGAGGTTGAGTCAGGAGGACTGGGAGTACGAGGCAAACCTAGGCTACACAGTGAATTCAAAGCCAGGCTGAACTACATAGTGAGACACCATCTCAGGAAAAAAAAAGAAAAAAGGATGAAAGAAAGAAACTACGTGGTACATAACTCTAAATAATTGGAAAACATTGACACAGAAATGCAAACTGGGGAGTGGCTGGTTATATATAGCAGGAGGCAGGACTGCTACTTGAGACCTAGCTGTCAAAGCCTGGGGAGGGGGTAGGCTTGCTAGTTGAAGATGGGCTCTATGAGCTTCATGTCTTCTATGCTGTCAACATACCCATTTATGTTACAGTGGAATTGAATATAGTTGTAACTCCTGCTCTCTCTGTAGCTATCTGTGAAACCCTCCCAGTGACACTTGAGTACTTTGATTGGCACCTGGGCCCATACGTATACATTCCTGTAGTGGTCATTCTTGTTGCCACTGTAGCATATGTGCTCGACTTTGTACCATGAGATATAAATGAACAGGTGAGGAATCTTGTGCTTCAAGGCTTCTCTTTCTTTCATGAGGAAATCACATTTATATGCACTGAATTCTTGGCTTGGACTTAGGTGGTGCTTTTCCATAAATTCCCGCCTGGAAATGTCTTTGCTCTGTGCAAGCAGTCCACATCGGAGGCAGAGAAGGGTCAAGAGAAGGCCCCAGACCTTCAGAGAGGACATCATCTCAGTGACCAGGGCCACCTGTGTGTGCACAGGGAGAGGAAAATATTAATGAGATGGTGCCCTGAGGCCTGAGGTCTAATTGAAAATTCCTAGCCTAATTTTACTACAGTATTTGGTTCTCAGACCAGAAGGTAAAAATTCTCATTAGATAATAAAATTAGTGGAAAATAAAGATATGTTGCAGACTGAGTCAGCCAAGAACAAAATTGGGAAAAAGTAGATGAGGTTTATTTTAAGAATTGTAAACACTTCCTATCTGGCCTTCTTCCGGTCAGCTTGAGGAACCCATTTCCTCTAGTTAAATGCTCTTCCCCAGTGTACTCTGAGGACAGTATGTGCCCAAAAGAAAGTGGTATTTCAAATCCTATGTCTCCAAAGTCGAAAGGGTTATTACTCTTTTTTGTAAGTTTTTCTGATGTGATTTAATACTTTTATACATTTACAAATACTGTTATTTTAATCATGCTGTGATTTTTAACTGTGGCTTTACATTGGTATATAATAAAATATTTTTTTCACTGAGTTTATTGGTACTTTTAAAGTATACAGTACAGTTACATTTATCATTGGGATCTTGTACCTTTACCTTACAGATCTTGGTTCCCTATTTTCCCCTTACCTCTGTCATCCCTTCACCTCCTCCCAACTCCCCTATTTACAAAGGCTTTGTTTCCATTGTTTGCTTTTCTCATATTTTTTCTTTTCCCTTAGGAAATAAGGATTATTACTTTTTAAGGGAATATAGAAGATGGGTAATTACTTGGGAGGTTTTTTTTAGGTTGGAAGGATTTGGATACCTGAAATCACCCTGTCATCCCTTCACCTCCTCCCAACTCCCCTATTTACAAAGACTTTGTTTCCATTGTTTGCTTTTCTCATATTTTTTCTTTTCCCTTAGGAAATAAGGATTATTACTTTTTAAGGGAATATAGAAGATGGGTAATTACTTGGGAGGTTTTTTTTAGGTTGGAAGGATTTGGATACCTGAAATCACAGCCCAGGCTGCAATTACATTGGTGGTGCATGATGGTGTTTTTCTGGCCTTGACTTCCATACGACAGCTCCTTAGAATCTGGGTAAAACACACTATCGCTTCTAAACCAACTACCATATTCCTTCTCAGGGGCCATTTCTCTGCCATCATTATAAACGATCTTGATTTGTCAACTGCTTATTAAAAGTATCATGATGAAGGAAGTTCAGGGTTTTCTTTGTTTGTTTGTTGGTCCTGGGGACCGAACTACACTGAGCTACATCCCCGGCCCTTTTAATTTTTTTATTTTGATATAGCATCTCATTAAATCCCTAAGTTGCTAAGGCAGAACTCACCTTGTGATCCCCTGCCTCATCTTCCCAGACTGCTGGGACTCCAAGTGTGTACCACAGCACCAGCTGGTACTTCCATTTTGAAATATTCCTCCAGTCAATCAAATACCAAAATAAAACTGCCTTTCTGGGATTAACTTTGGCTGTAGAAATGGGAGTCAAGTTGTTTGAAAAGCTCCCCCGTAAACTAGGTCTCTGCCCTCATTTACGTGAGCAGTGTACTTGGCCTTATTGAACTTCTCACCAGATTTGCTACTCTGAATATCAAAGTCCTCAGGTGGGCCTAATAATGGCTCCACCACAGGACTGGGGGTCTACTAATACACAGATATGCTTTGGAAGGCTGGGGTGGAAGAGGGAGCAATAGGGAAAGGCTACACTATTGGGATTAATGTTGAGTTGAATTCATGGCTTTGTTTTCTATAATTTACATATAATTTTTTATTCTTTTTTTTTTTTGTACTGGGGATTGAACTCTGAACCTTGTGCCTGTAAGGCAGGTGGCAGCACCATTTAGCTAAATTCCTGGCTCTGAATTATTTATTGTTTTTTTGAGATTGGGTCTCACCATGTAGTTGAGACTGACCTAGAACTCACATGTAGCCCTGGCTGGTCTTGAACTAACAGCAATTCTCCTGCCTCAGCCTCCCGAGTGCTGGGATTACAGGTGTGTGCCACCACACCGGCTTTCTGATTTTTTATTCTTAACTGTACTAACAGATCAGGCAAGCTCTTTCCAATGCTTTTCTACCTTTCATCCAAACGTCAGATGCAACAGCCCTTGCAACTTACCTTATTCAGATTTGGCATTCACATCAGTGGTTGTGGTGGGTGTGCCTGTGGATCTGCAAAGCAATCTGTGTCCTTCTCTCAGTTCCCAAGAAGTCTATAGCAGTGGAGAAAGGAATGACATGGATAGTATAGCAGTTTTTGATGATTTGTGGAGGTGGTGGAGTAGAAGGAAGGATCAGGACGTCTTTTTATATGAACTTGTTCTTATATCTTCTCATGCAGAACACTTGCGTCCACTCTGAGCATAGCCTCAAGCAAAGGTGACAAACATCAAAGAATGATCTGACCCTGGGTAGAAGGGAATTGCAGGACATTTGAGAGAGGTGGTCCCAGAGAGGGGCCATCTGTAGTTTTTAAGAGACAATCAGAGATCTGGTTTCTCAACTCTTTTCCTAATAAATTTCTGGGGAATAATCTATGAATGGCTGGACTGTGTTCTTTGAGAACTTCAGTGAGGAAACTACCTCTGGAGGTATGGACTGTGGGACCAACATGGAGAAGTGAAAGAGTATCTATTCAGAGGTGTGATTAGCAGATAAACTGAATATGCTTTCTGTCAACAACTTCTGTTATGGTTTAGATCTAAAGTGTCCCTGAAAAGTTTCATGTGTTCAGAGGTGGGGCTTTTGATGGTGATTAAATCAGAGGACATTAAATTATTATTATTATTATTATTATTATTATTATTATTATTATTATTATTATTTTGGTAATAGAAATTGAAGTTAGATCCTCATGTTTGCCAGGACAGAGAACATTAAATTCATCAGTGGATTAATCCACTGACGAGTCCTATAGTTGAATGTTCAGTCAGGAGGTTCAGACTAGTTGGAGATAGGTCACCGCGCATATGGTATATTGTTGTCTCTCACTCCTTTCTTTTCTACTTCTTGGTTGCCATGAAATGAGCAATTTTCCTCTTCCATGCTTTGACATGCTGTTTGTGCCTTGGAGACAGCCACCCACAGACTAAACCCTCTTTAAAAAAAAAAACTCATGAGTCACATTAAACCTTTTCTCATTTAAGTTTTGGGTGTTGGGTAGTCGCAGCAATGATTTCACTTCTCTGGTACCAGTTCCGTGTTAGCCAGCAGTCCCTTTGCTGGGACTCAACTTCTGATGCACACAACTTAAAGGAGGAGAGGTTTGATTCGGCACTCAGTACTAGATGGTTTGGTCTATGGTTGGCCGGCTTCAAGGCAGAAATGGCCTGCTGGAAGGCATGGCTGAGAAAAGCCATTTACTTCACGGCAGTCATAAAAGAAGGACTGAGAGAAAAAGTAGGAGGCGGAGCCAAGAACAAGAACTTATTCTTCCAGGTCAATCCCCAGGGGCCCCCCTCCAATCAGACCCTCCTCCCAACAGCACAATCAGATACAAACCACCAGTGGACTAATTCATTGATGAGAACAGTACTCCCATGATCCGATCACCTCCCAAAAGCATCACCCCTGAAATGGAATTTTGGGGGACCCTTTAGATCTCAATCACAGTATTCCCATCTGACCCTCAAAAGGCTCGTGTCCGTTTCATCATGCAGAATGGATTTAGTCCATCTCTAAGAGTTGCCAAGGTCTTAAAAGTTCCAGAATCACTGAAGAGTCCAAATCCAAAGTCACCTCTGAAACTCAAGGCAAGCTTTATTTTTTGGTACTGAGGATTGAACTCAGGTCCTTGTGCTTGGGAGGCAGGCAGCAGAACCCTTGAGCTAAATCCCCGGCCCCATCAAGGCAAATTTTAAATTATGAGCCCTGTGAAAATAAAAAACAACGTGAAGTACTTCCAACACACAATGACAGAGAGTAAACTTCCCTATTCTAAAAGGGAGGAGTAGGGAAATAGAAATGAATTGAATCCGGACAATACCAAAAACTGGCAGGGCAAGCATTAAATTTTGTAGCTCTCTGTCCAGCACTGGGGCAAGTTGTAGTGAGAGGTGAGCTCCAAACAGCTTGGGCAGCCCTTATTAGCTCTGCTGCTTGGGGCCCACACACTTCTGTCTTGGGCTGGCTGCTCTCACACCCTGAAGCTTTCCTCAGCAGATGCTCCACATTCTTAGGGTATCCAACTTCCTTGGGTGTCCCCTGCACCCTTGGCTTCATGAATACAGCTTCATTCACTGTTTTCTCAGGAGCACTTTGGCCATTAATAGTGATGTGTCACCCTGAGTGGATTAAGGAAGGTCTGGTGGATTAATAAAGCACACTTTTGGATGTGTCTGTGAGGTGTTTCCAGAGACGATGGGCATGTATGCCAGGAAACCGATGGGTAGACCCACCCTGACTATGAATAGCATCCTTCTATAGACTTGTGGCTGGGATGCAATCTTCTATTGCAAAAAGGGAGGGAGCTGGTATGTATTTGAAGAGTTCCATTCTGCTTGATCAGGTGCAGCTTTTAGAGCCACTGCCTATGGATATCAGATCAGTTTCTTCACTCTTCCAGTGCAGACTCATACCAGTAACTCTCCAGGCAGCTTCCAGGCCTTTGGTTTCAGACTGGTGTTACATCCTTGATCCTTTCTTTTCTATGTCTCTTAGCCTCTTGGACTGGATTCTTGGGCTCTCCAGTGAGCACATGGCCATGTGGACTCACCTGCTTTTGATCCTGTAAACTTAGCTAATAAATTCCCTTGCACAATTACATAAACACACACATATATGTAACATATATAATATATATGGAATTATATAGTATATTATGAATATAAAGATATATATATATATAAGTGTTGCCAGACGATGGGCATGTATGCCAGGAAACCGATGGGTAGACCCACCCTGACTATGAATAGCATCCTTCTATAGACTTGTGGCTGGGATGCAATCTTCTATTGCAAAAAGGGAGGGAGCTGGTATGTATTTGAAGAGTTCCATTCTGCTTGATCAGGTGCAGCTTTTAGAGCCACTGCCTATGGATATCAGATCAGTTTCTTCACTCTTCCAGTGCAGACTCATACCAGTAACTCTCCAGGCAGCTTCCAGGCCTTTGGTTTCAGACTGGTGTTACATCCTTGATCCTTTCTTTTCTATGTCTCTTAGCCTCTTGGACTGGATTCTTGGGCTCTCCAGTGAGCACATGGCCATGTGGACTCACCTGCTTTTGATCCTGTAAACTTAGCTAATAAATTCCCTTGCACAATTACATAAACACACACATATATGTAACATATATAATATATATGGAATTATATAGTATATTATGAATATAAAGATATATATATATATATAAAATTGTGCAAGTGGGTTTATATTATATACATATAATGTGTACTATATGTGTGTGTATCTATTGATTCTTTTCCTCTAGAGAATTCTTACCAATACATCTTCAAAATCCACCAATAGCTAAGCCACTTTGAAGTAGTTTCTCACTGGGTTACCCTGTTATTTTGTCAAAATGTTCACTTTATATCCAGAAATTATTTTCAGACTCCATCTAATATTAGGCATTCAGGGACTAACAGGGAGTCATGTGCAATAGGCTGGATAGAGGTGCAACTCAGAGTACACTCTGTACATCCTCTTACTGACTTGTTCTTTGGGTGACCGAGGAGAGCAAGGAGAGGACTAAGGAAGGAAGGCAGCCATCACACAGATGTAAGACTTGAGTCTCACTTTTACTCCTGGAGCGTGAACAGCCAAGAGGCCTTCACGATGCTGGGCTCAGTAGCTCAGCGAGGCTCCAGGAGCTTGTCCGATAGCGAGAGTCACCCAGGAAGGAACACACCAGGCAAGTTGGCTAATAGACCTTTATTAGTCTGGCCAGACGGCACTCCCCAAGCCAAGTGGCTCAGAGAGGCGACTAGCTCAGAAACAGAGGCCATTCTTTCTAACAAGACTGTGCTATCTACTGAATAATTCAATTCAAGTAGTGATATAATGAGTGTAGACAGGCTGTAGAAGCCACCTGGACCAACATTTGAAGAAGCTAATAAAGATGTCTATAGTCCTTCAAGGCGCCATATCTTACGGTATATTATAGAAAATTAGCAAGTAATCTTGAAAATTATAAATGAATGCATATGAAAGTAATTTTAAATAATAAAGTTAACTAGTTAATCCAATGTTTGTGGAGTGTTACCATCCAAGTGTATCCTAGGTCTTCCAAAGAACCCACACTTCACACCTGAAGAGGTGATTTCCCTCACGTGCAGGAGGAATTACTTCTGTTTTTGCATAGCACAGTGGGGCAACTTTTGGTTAAAACAGTCTATGATATAATGCAAAATGCTAGAAAATAAGTATTAGAGATTCCCAACACTGAAAGCCCCTCTTACTTTTAGCAAGTCCAAAAAGCCCACCTGGAGGATGTTATTTTCCATGAAGGCTCCACCTCACTGTAATACACAGATGTCTCGATCTTCTGCATGCCCTAGCACACAGCATGTGAGGAATGCAAGGTACACTTAGCTCTAGGTCATCTAGTTTCCAAAAGGAATCACAACTAGCAAAACCCCAAGTATACTTAGTCACTTAATTTCAGGAACTAGACTGCACTTAGATTCAGAATACATACGAGACATCTTATAATTTTTCAAAACTAAATCTCAGTACTTAAAATTCCAGAGAGAGCTTGTGACAAGGTAACAGGCTGGAAACGCAGGGCTCCATAAGGCATGCGGATAACCTTCTCCGTGACATCTGACACTCCGTTCATGTAAGGGCGTTTACTTGTTGGTTTAGTTTGTGTGGTTAACTTCCACCTTTCCCTCCTTTGATAGAGATCTTTCCCTGGAAGCATCATTGACCAACCACTGAATCAAGCTTATCCGTCGTCTCTGAGATGGACGGATCCTATGTTAGTGGATAAATCTTTCGCAACAATGAGTTTGTATTGAGAAAGAAAACCAACTGTTCTGCCACACCTGAGCAATAAGGAGAACAAACTGTCAGGCTAAGAGCGCATGTAGGTTATCGCTGAATTCAGTTTTTGTGTTTCGTGGGCATTGGCGATCATCTCCAGACACTGGGATGGCGTGACTCAGCAGTTATGTATCTGGAAATTTGACAAACAACAAATACAAAATCTGCCTGGGGATGTAGCTGGCAAGTGCAAGGTCCTGAGTTCGACTGCTGATACTAAAAATTAATTAATTAATTAATAAAAAAATACAAAATCTAAGAAGTACAACATGGAGTAAAAGTAACAGCAATATTGGAATTCCAGTTTGCCAAATGGTTTTGAGCTGTGGACCCAGACCTGAAGATAATCAAATTACTATGTGGAATTTGGTGAGACCTAGT